TTTGTTCTATATCAGTCTTTTGATCTGCCACAATAATGTAATAATGAATTTAAATGAAAATACCTCAAATTGAAGGCTTTTCTCAGCAATTTTTAGGTGAGATTAAAAAGAGATGAATTAGATTAATTAATTACTATATATATATATATATATATATATATATATATATATATATATATATATATATATATATATATATATATATATATATATATATATATATATATATAAAAGCCACTTGAGGCAATGATGACCCTTGCCCCAGTACGCACGTCCCTCGCACGCAAACTCCAGGGACTGCGACTGCTCTCGGCAGGCTATTCTCTCTTCCTGATAGCTGCCCAGGCTGACAGATGCTTCACCAAAAAAATTACATAGTGTACCTTTAATGTTTAAAATTCTTTGTGCTTCTTCTCACCAACTGTGAAAAATGCCCCATGCCTATAATATATTATATGTTTTTGCTTCTTGCAAAGATGTCTGATAATGTTGACATTTCATGTCTGTGGTACGGGGCGCTATTGTGTTCACTTTTATTGGACTTTATAGTCCATTACATTCAGGCCAAGATCATGCAATTGTGATTTGAATTTGAGCTTTCTAGAACAATACCTGTAGCTGTGAGAATTTGTTACAGAAACAGGATATTATGGTGTTTTTGCTGGCAAAGTGCAATTATTCTACAAAAAATAAAATGTCTCTAGATGTAGTGAGCTGAATATGAGCTTATTGGATCAAAAACCAGGGACTACTTAGTACAAACACACAGTCAGTAACGCAGTTTTTGATTGAGTTCAGCCAGCTTCAAGTTCATTATAGGCTAATTGGCTTTTTATTATATATTTATTATTATATATTTAATTTGGCTTTTTATCATGCCACTGGGTGTGTCTTGCTAGACCTGTCTAACACCCAAAGCAGCTTGGGCCCATTGTAATGGAAATGCTTCCTGGGTTGGAGTGGCCCCCTCATAACTGTTCCATACATGCCAAGGTGGTCCCAAGTGAACTGTGCCAGTGGAAGCAAGGCTTATGTCATGCCAAGTCTGAGCTCATTTGTAGCAGAAACCAGGGACTACATGCATTTTACAAACACGCAGTCAAAATGGCAACACATTTTTGATCCAATATGGCCGACTTCATGCTCATCATAGGGCTTGTTTATTGTTCTCTATTACTGGTCTGAATTTAGTTTTCCTATGCCAAACTGTGATTGTCCTCCACTCCTGTGGTGCACTTCTAGTCAATTTGGGCATTGTCGTGATGCTAATTTTATAAAAATTTTTACTGGGTTGATCAATTTGATAGCCCCATATGAGCGCTTTGGGTGTCTTGAAAGGCACCCAAAGCGCTTTACAGTTCATCGTTTATTTACTCCACACTTAGTGGCAGCAAGCCACAGCGGCCCTGGGACAGACTGATGGAAGCAAGGCTGTCAATCTGCAGCATTGGCCCCTCCGACCACCACCAACACTCATGCACACTCCACTTTCCTACTAGGCAATGTAAGTGAATTGTCTTGCCTAAGGCCACAACAACAGTTTTTGCCACTGGTGCCCCACTGGGGCACCTGATTTTCCCATTGGTCTCCCATCCAAGTACTACCCATACCCGGCCCTGCTTAGCTTCTGAGATCTGACGAGATCATGCTTTGACCATCTGGCATAGTCACAACATAGGCAAAGTTGAAGCCAAAGAGATAATATAACCAAAATCCTCAAAAGCCCTCCTCCTACATCTGGGTTAAAGTGTAATTCCTAAATAAAAGTTGTGTATATTGTGTCGTGTACATAAAGATGCAGCCAAAAGAGTCAGTGTAAAGTTGAACCCAATAGATAATATGAAGTAAACTTCACCAAAACCCTCCGCCAAGACATTGAATGCAGCCAAACAAATCTGCATAAAGATATTCATAATCCTCCAACCTTGCCCCAGTTGCTAAGATATTTATTGATTGATTGATTGATTGATTGATTGATTATATGGATATTCCAGAACTGTCTAAAAATTTTAAATGTGAAGCACAGGTGTTAGTTAAAATATTCCAACTTTTAGATTATGTAGATATTCACTACCAGTAAAAAGACGAAACATTTAAGCCTCGTTTTCATAGGGCCGGTAAGGGATGGAACATTGCTGACCCTGTGTGTTTCCACTGGGTAAAGCGATCTGTCCAAAGTGGACCACTGGAAGTACTACCTACCAGAACAGTCTGGAACGGTTGAGACTGGCTTTCGGGGGGCAGGGCCAGGCACGCCTCCATGCAGTCATTGGTGTGTTAATAATGCGTAATAATAAATCCACATCCAGTCAAAGTCTGTTAAGTCCGTGTAAAGAAAACATGTACCAAACTCCACTAACTTCCACCTCCTCAGTCCCAGTAAAGGTGTGTATCCCAAATGTGGTGTATATATCCAGTGTGGAGGAGGTGTGTGTAAAGATGCAATCAAACGAGACCACGTAAAGTTATCCATAATTCTCCGCCTCCGTCCAAGTAACCATGTAGTAAAAGGGTAAAGTTATTTATCATACAACAGGGGGTGGCCCTCTCCTAACTGTTCTAAGTCAAGGTGATCCCAAGTGAACTGTGTCAGTGGAAACGAGGTTATGTATTCATAGTGCAGCAGGTTAGTGAAAAAATCTTTCACTTTGGTATAAAATCATGAGATTTGGCAAAGATACTCTCTAAGGGCCACTATTTTGGAAAAAGGCGTTGGCCCAGGGCAGCTGTGGCTACAATAGCAAGTTATCACCACCGGGTCTGGATTGACTGAATAATGCTCTGTAAAGTGTCTTTGTGACAAATGTCTGTGAAAAGCACTATATGAATAAACAACTTACTAACTGTTCAGATGGTGATGCAAACATAAAATCAAGCAGAAATACTTTTCCTTCTCAAAGTAGCTTCTGTACCACCTCTTTCATCGAGTTGTTCCCGGTCCAGGGTCATTGGCATTTTGTTGTTGTCTTGTGAAAGAGTGGAATGTTGGTGGCAATGATTTTATACCCATCATGTTCAGAAACATAATGTTTCTGAACATGATGGGGTAGATGGGGTTTGGAGGGTTGTTTGTGTCTTTTTGACACAGTTGTATGATTAAGGCTGAGGGTTATCCTTTTACCACCTCAATCACAGACATAGTACACATTTACGTATGTATGGAATACAACTAGGTTCGAGTCACCTACACCTCGCCCAATCATTCATCCGGTGTCATTTAAGTCCCGTGTGGTCTATACACTTTCCGGGTAAGCACACATGAACATGGCATGTATTGCCCTGCTAACCCTTGGCTCAGCTCTCCCACTCTGGCACAACCTGTCAATTCAGCTCATCTAACTCAGAGTCCTGCACTGGATACCCAAAGAGTACATACAAATATTTGCTGAAACGGGCAGGATTTAACATTCTGGGATTTTATGGACGGGTATGCGGGCGTGTAGTGATTACACATGGGCGGGTCAGGTGAATCAAGTGAACGATGAACAGGAGAAAAATACTTTACCAGGGTGTCCGTTGCCCTGGAAACAAGTGTCATTTCCCGTCTTTTCCCAGAATGATGACAGACCACGCTGAGAGAGACATTAGTTTATTTATTACATAAAACCATCAGCGGAGGTGATCGGCTCAACAGCTGGTTTAGTCCTGGTTTAGTCCTGGTTTAGTCCTGGTCCAGTCCTGGTCCAGTCCTGGTGTAGTCCTGGTGTAGTCCTGGTGACCAGCAGGGCAGTTGGTGCGGATATATATTTATAATCCGCTAATGACATAGCATAAGTTCAGTCCTGGTTTAGTCCTGGTTAGACGCATTTGGGACACTAAACTTACCTATACTATTACTACTATTCAAGAACTACGGTGTAAGTAAAACTAGATGAGTGACACTGAAGCCCAGGCTGAGTTTCACAGCAGTGAAGTCACCAGTGCCCTGCTCGTGTAATGACGTTCACTCTATTAATCTAAACCTTCCTTAACATATTCAATTGAGCTCTGACAGAAATGATGGCCATCTTGAATTTTTGAGTGGCATACACCTTTTTCCATGAGAATGTTCCTTGAAGAATGTTTGTACCAATCTTGGCTGGTGGCATCTCAACCATCATATGTTTGTCATCTTGATATTTTGACGGAAGAACACCATTCTCCAAAAAAACATTCTTAGTATTTCCACAAAATGTTATGCCTACATCACAGTTTGAATGCCCAACATAATGAGCATTTGACAGAAATAGCAGCCATCTTGAAAAATTGACGCCATTTAGAATTTTTGAGTGACCAACACTTTTTTCCCAAAAAGTGACCAGTAGAGGGTCATGCTTTTATACCAAAGTGAATAATTCTCTTGAAATATGTAATTAATCTGCCGCACTATCATGTTTCTTCTTTATTTTCATTATTATTTACATTGTCACTGAAGGCATCAAAACTATGAATGACATATGGAATGTAGTAAGCAAAAATTGTACTAAAAAATAACTTAAAACTTATTTTAGATTTAGATTAGTTAAGAGTCGCCACCCTTTGCTTTAATCACTGCTTTGCACTTTCAGCATTTATTGAACCTGACAAGGCACAACTGTGAAGTAAAAACCATTTCATATCAATTCATCAGGAAACTCCTTGAGAGAAGGTCAAGTGTTTGTAGCGCTGTCAACACAAAGCAAACAAAGCAAAGGGTGCACAAAATATATATTTCGTTGAGATGTATCTTTTTTCTTTGCTTTGCTTTAACTCTATACATCATCTTCACATATCTGATGTCTTATGTATGTATAAAAAAATGTAGAAGTCTATCCATAATTATTCAACGTATCCACATGAAACAGCCATTGTCACAAAATTGATTCCATCTCTATCAATAACCTGATCGTTGTCAATTGTACTTTAGACAGTACAATTAATATAGTAAGTTTGTGGAGGCAATCCCTAACAAGTAATGATAGTGGTGACATAATCAAATTCTACAGTATGAACCCCCCTTTGAAAGCTCTTTTTGGCTCTAGTGTGGACCATGTCGCCGTGCTGCTGGACATTCGTGGAGACATCTCACGAGACATCAGGGTCACCTTGAGAGATTTGCTGGAGCAGAACTTCCATCCTCTGCCAGTGGGATACAGGCCCATATTCACAGATATACTGGTGCCACAATCTAACCGGACTTTTTGCCTGCCCACCACCAAATGTGCCTGACTGTTTGCTTCGCATTTGGGTCAAGACAGAATCTGCATGTAAATTAAATAAATAAATACATAAATTTTGGATATAGTGGGAAACCTACTTGGACTGTTTTAAAGGTTGATGCATGACCCTTTAAAATCCTGTCATCAGAATGTTCGCAATGGAGAAAAGTAGAGGCAAAGTGAAGCGGACATAATATATTTTCAATGATTAACTGATAAACTGATCTAAATAGAAAAATTAAACAGCAACTTTGAATTTCCAAGGTACAAATATTAGTTAATTTGCTTTTCTTTTAAAAAGGTGGACCTCACCATTTTTCATAATCTCTTAAATTTACAAACTATATAAAACACAACTGTAAATGTTTTTAAACCAGGCTCTGAGATCACTGACATGTATCTGATTGTTTTTCATTTGCCAAATTTCCCTTGATTTTTCATATTTTGTGACGAAGATGATGACGACAATCATTATTATTATTATTATTATTATTATTTTGAAGTTAATCCTGGTTTCTCATTGATATCACATTATGTTAAACTTCAGTTTTGCCTCTAGTGCCTCCATTTTGGAATTGAAAATATTTTTGTGTACAAATTTTAAAGGGTTTCTAATAAAGGTTCAGGAACAGGTTGTGTCTATGGTTAGGGTTTAGTAAAGTGGCACATAGAAAGTTCCACAGTGAATTTTTAAACCTAACCAGATAACACTCCCAGGCCCAATTTTGATTCAAATCTTTCAAGAGGCTAATGTGTCTATACATAAAAGCATACATTTTAGGCATTTTTAAAGCCCTACCCTTTTTTAACAAAAAAGTTTTATTTTTATTAAATTTTTTTCCCCCATAATGTTTATTGCACTAAAAAGCAACTCTGACTCTTACCTGGCCTGGAGGAGTGTTTCCTCCTGCTTGTTTCTATGGAAATAGATGTTACTTAACTCTGCTTTTATGAATTCTTCTACTTTCATGACTATAGCTTTACAGTTGTTTTATATATATATATATATATATATGTTTTGTGTTAAAATATATATTGTTTTGATGTTTCACACTTTGTGTTCAAATACCAATAAATCAAATAATTAATTAATTACCAACTAAGTGTTGGAGTGTTGGTTGATAAAGTCAATCAATTAATATATTTCAGCTTTACAGATAATTCTAACATCTATCCAGGGACAATGGAGCCTGCCTTCTGGCTAATTCTGGTGCATTTACATTAATATGCACTGTTGGGCAAGTTACTTCAAAACTGTAATATGTTATTTATTAATTGTTACTGTCATTTCAAAGTAATTTGTTACATCACAATATTACTGCATTTAAAATGTAAGGCATTACACTATTATTGCCTTACTTTTATGTTACTCTCACCAAAGTAACTGCAAAGATGCCAAAGTTTTGTATTTATTTATTTAATGAGACAGGGATAGTGCACAATTTTTACATTAACCTTAACAGGAGAGGTACATTGTACCAGGTTGTAGCACCAGTGCTAATTTCCACCTGTCGTCCCTGGGCAGGTTCAGTGATTGATTGTATTTAATTGACCTTGGCTATCAACTGTTCTTCCTGGAGACCTGTGTAGCATGTTTTGGGTTCATAGAGCACCAGAGCACCTGGAGGAAACCCATCCAGACACGGGGAGAAACATGCAAACTCCACACAGAAAGGCCTGGGCGACCTGGGGATTGAACCCGGAACTTCCTTGCTGTGAGGTATGAGTGCTAGCCACTCAGCCATCATATATGGACTATACCAATTCTAAAACCAGGACTGAACCAGGGCTAAACCAAGTCTAAACCAGGACTGAACTAGGACTGATCCAGGACTAAACCAGGGCTGAACTAGGACTAAACCAGGTCTAAACCAAAATTAAACCAGGTCTAAACCAGGACTAAACCAAGACTAAACCAGTTCTAAACCAGAACTGAACCAGGTCTAACGCAAGACTAAACCAGGACTAAACCAGGAATTAACTAGGGCTAAACCAGGTCTAAACTAGATCTAATCCAGGACTAAACCAGGACCAAACCAGGACTAATCTTGGTCTACGACTTGGAATCTAGAACCGCCCCTGAGAGAACCCTGAGCCTGTGGAGCAGGGTGTCCACAAAGTGTGATTGGGCGTCACCTGCGTATTGGGTATTAGCCCAATGGAGCACAGAGCTCTGCGCCGGTCTTTTTGTCCGCAGTTGTGTGACGGTCTACGTGGGCACACCTCCAGGCCCATCCCAACACAGAGCTGTAATGATGTCATTTCACCAGTGCTGATATCGCAGTGACTTTAGCAAATTTGTATGAAGAAAAACGAAAAACCCACCACTTCAATCCAGGTTTAAAAAGCATTGTGACACGTGTTAATGACCAAGTAAAATGTTTGTTTTTTTTTTCCTTGTAATGCCTTGCATTACTGTGTTACACCAAAAAGCAATGCATTACACTAATTCTTTACTTTTATAATGCATTACTCCCAACTCTGGTCAAATATATGAATGTATAAGTAGATAAACATATTACATTGTGGTGATCTTGTAGATGTGAGTCTAAACTTAACTACTGGCCACTGGATGCTTGCTCCTTTACTTTCAGAGCCATGATGAATAATTGAAGAGGGCACACTGGTATCTGTTACACGCACTCTTTCCCTCGCCTCTGCTTGCTTTTCCGTGAAGACTGCTGATGACTGGAGACCTTTCCATTGAGTTTGTGTCATCTGTGTGAGCCCTACATGCAGAAAAGGCCTGAGTGACTACGCATGCTTCACCGCATAGGCTTTTTAGGTTTTATGCTTGAACTTTAACTGCCACAATGTCGGGATTAAATAGTGAGCAGCTACACAAGTCTACGCTAGCAGTGTACACGGTAGGCTAGGTTATGGTTTTCTTGTGTTTTCTTGTGTTTCTTGCTTAATGCAATGTTGTTTTTTATAATGTCACTATTTTACGGAATTCTGTTCATCACTGTAGAACTTAATGGAACACTTCAATCCGGGTTTGCAAAAGCTTGTGGATCTAGGCACCAGTTATGTCCAAGCATTCCAAGGTATGGCTCTAGGTGTGTGTGTGCGTGTGGGTGTGTGTGTGTGTGTGTGTGCGTGTGTGTGTGTGTGTGTGTGTGTGTGTGTGTGTGGTGTGTGTGTGTGTGTGTGTATGTATGTGTGTGTGTGTGTGTGTGTGCGTGTGTGTGTGTGCGTGTGTGTGTGCGTGTGTGTGTGCGTGCGTGTGAGCGTGTGTATGTGTGTGTATGAGTGTGTGTAGGGGTGTGTGTGTGTGTGTGTGTGTGTGTGTATGAACGGGGGAATGATGGCTGCTTTACAGCTTCAGCGGCGATGTCCAAACTCACATGAGTACACACAGAAAGGGAATATTTATAAGGCATAAAGTTACTGATATAAACGACTGCTTTTATTGTATTTATTGTGCTTTCTACAAGTCACAGACCCATGTAAATAATGAGGGATGAGGTGGAGTGGGGGTGCACTCTGGTCATGGGGGATGATGGGGGGGGTGATGGTGGTGTAGAGTTCAGGTGCAGGGCTGTAACACTGCCCCATATGGAAAGCAGTGGGGCGGGGACAGACTGAGGTGCACTGTTGTCTGTTAGATCCAATGGACGCATGCTCTACAAAACGCCTCATAAATGTTGTGGATCACAGTAGTACAGTACAGTAGTACGCCCCCCTGGGGGGCGCGAGGCTCCGTCAAGGGGGGCGCGTTTGACCTCGGGGAACATGCTTTTTTATTTTTTTATTTAGATGTTTTTTACTGTCTTAAGGGCCGTTCACACCAAAGCGTCAAAAAACGCCTTGACGCCTCTATTTGGAGCCTTTGCATTTGAGTTTAGACGCCCCCCGACGCGCGTCTTTGACGCCGTGGACGAACGGGACAAAAATACTCGACGCGCATCCGTTGCCCTGGAAACAAGACCCCGGTCCCGCTCTTTTCCCGAAACAATATCAGACCAGACTGAGAGTGTTTTTATGACATAAAACATCAACGGAGGAGATCGGGTCGACGACTGGGGCGTATATATATTTCTACTCCGCTAATGACACTGGATCAGTCCCGGTCTAGTCCTGGTCTAATCACGGTCTGGTCCTGGTCTAATCACGGTCTAGTCCCGGTCTAGTCCCGGTCTAATCACGGTCTAGTCCCGGTCTAGTCCTTGTTTAGTCTCGGTCTAGTCCTTGTTTAGTCCCGGTCTAGTCCTGGTTTGGTCCTGGTCCGGTCCTGGTGTATTCCTCGCGATCAGCTCGGTGATTGTGGTGTATATATTTATTCTCCGCTCGTGTTTGTGGTTCTCGTTCTGGTTCTCGGGTCTTTCTTCCTGATAATAACGTCGCTGCGTCTCTGGATACTCGTCCCTGATTGGTTGACGCGGCGCGTCTGACGCGAAAAGTTTTCAACTTCTTGACGCTGACGCTTTGGACGCGCGTCTTGGCCGCTGACGCCAAAACGCTGAAGACGCGCCGCGCTGACGCCAGATTCGCGCCGCGCTGACGCCGAAAACGCGCCGCAAAAACGCAGGACGCTCTAGTCGCGCGTCCACATAGACTTTACATAAAAAAGTGGACGCTTTGACGCTTTGGTCTGAACTGGCCTTTAGAATAAAGTGCAATTGCACTTCCACTACATTAGGGGGCAGTGGCGCTCTCATTGGCAGAGTGTGCGCAGGGAGCATTCGCTCGGTGGTGTAGGAGTTTTGTTTGCACTGAGCATGCGCGCTTTGCACACAGCACAGAGTTTGAGTATGAAGTGTAGACACGAAGTGTAGCAGACCCTCAAGTGACGCCATGAAAAAATATTTAACAGGGATGAAAAGACAGGTGGAGAGAGACGGAGATAAAGAGACAAACGAAAATCTCCCGAAAGCTAAGACGAGGAAATATGACGAAGCGTATGTAGCGCTCGGCTTCACTGTGACTACGGTGGGAGACGAGGAAAGACCGGTGTGCTTACTGTGTCTAAAAATGTTGGCAGCGGACAGCATGAAGCCCAATAAATTAAGGCGTCACTTAAATACATTACACCCCGATCACTCTGATAAGCCGCTTGAGATTTTTCAGCGAAAACGTGCCGAATATTGCCGACAATCATCCCGCTTGTGACTGCTACTTCAGTAAACCAGCGAGCGTTGTTGGCATCATATAAGGTGGCAGTGTTACGCAGAGGTGTACTTATAACAATTTTATAGACAAATGATACTATCTATAGTCACGCGGGGGGGCGCGAGATGTTTTATTCGTCCTAGGGGGGGCATGACAGAAAATAATTGAGAAGCACTGCAGTAGTAGGTTTTATAGGACACAGTTTAAGAAAATATATAACTTACAGTCATGGAAGAATTTTAATTTTTTGTTGCATTATCAGTAGACAGTAGACTTTTAGTTTTGATTTATTCAGTGATGTGCCACGGAAACTTTGTTTCCAAATGATCACAACTTAAATAAGGTTGAAAAACCCTGCTCTACATAACAAAAGGGTGATGATAAATATGATTTCTGAAATAATAACAATTGTACTAATCTTCAGGGGAACAGTGTAATCACATTAAGTGCAATTCCCACATCAGAACATTTTAGACAAAGCTTCATGTTTTGTTTCTCCAGTGTACTAGATTATGTAATCTCTCATTTACTCAGGAGTGTTTTAATGAGATAAAGATTTCAACTGTGGTCACCTGGACACTATTTTTGTGATTAATGTGTTTCTTGATTCAGCCTCTTGATTGCAAAAACAGTGTCCAAATGAACACTGTTGAAATCATCTGTACTTTCTTGCAGTTGATCACATTAGAGGTGGTTGAGATAAGTGTCAAAGAGGCTATATTTATCAGGAAAGATATTTTATCTCTGAAAAAAAAAGAGAGTGGTTTGCAAGTCCTACTCAATCAAAACTAAGAAAACAATAGGGATAATCAGAGTAGTATGATAACAGATTACCCATTAGAGGCTTAAACA